ATAATGGAGAATCAAATGGAAAAGAAAATTGAAAATGAAATGGAAACTGGGGGAATATAGGGATCTAAGGAACTTAAATTAAGTTACTATATTGGGGAAACCCTATTATTTACAATATATACCCACTATGGTAACTTATTTTAAGTTCCTTAACAGCAACCCAGTAAACCCCCAAACCCTGCTGTTTTGTTGATAAGCTTGGTTGCTGAAGGCAGAGGCCGCGGTTCAAAGCAGCCCTTCTTTCTTCCTTAAAAGGTAGAAAAACCCAAGCCTTCACAGCGAACACGTTTAGGGTTTTGGGTTTTAGGGTTTAGGGTTTAGGGTTTTAGGGGTTTCCGTGCAATAGGTCCCCGTCTGAAAGAGTGAGCAAAACCACCACCCCCAAGCTTTGAAAAACAAGTTTTGTGTTTTTGCGGACCGCAAATCTTTGTACATGCGGGCTCCGAGACATCTGCGATTCAGTGCTCAGTTGCATATGTAGACCCAAGGAGCAAGACTACAGCTCCAAATAGAGCCTAGCCACTCCAACAAGGGCAACAACAGCAACAACATCAACATCAAAGTATGATCCCCCTATCTCTCACCAGAACATTACAATCCCTTTTTCCGAGCCCCCAAGAAGGGACCCCAATTTTGAGAAACAATCCACCCCCCATGCCCTGCCCACCGTCAAACACGAAAAACTCCCAATTCAGCACCGTGTATATATGATCGGAGGAACGCCTAGAATAAGGGGTAGGGAATTCATTATCTTTGGGAGGGTAATGAATTTTGAGAAGCTCCTGGAACCCTAAGCCCCTAAATCCTCAATTCCTAAACACTAATTTATGTCAATCCCCCGTACAGTAATGGCTCTGTTAATGTGGAGTTATTAGGGCCTTACTATACCTGCACTTGTCCCTTGTGGTACCCATTACTGGATGAGGGATTGATCCAAGCCCTAAGCCCAATTGGCCAGGAGCTTTTGGAGTTCACTAAAGGCGAGATCTTGGTTGCTACCCTGGTGCAAAGTCGCCAGCAACTGCTTCACAGGACGGAGTGACCCCCCAGACTTAGCTGGGGTTAGTAGAGGATAAGGGAGTATATTATATAGAGAGTATAAACGGATTATGGATATTCCCTTATTCCAAAACCAACCACCAGCAAGTAGAGGGATCGTGCATGGAAAAGGAGGCTGAAAGGTTGGCGCAGGGGAGGGGGGTTGTTGCAACCTCAGTCCCCTAAACTAAACCTTAAGATGTCTAGATTTAGGGTTTAGCCAGCTTAGGGTTCAGGATTCAGGATTCAGGGTCTAGGGTTTTAGGGTATAGTGGTGCGGCCTCCGAACGAATAGCTACAATTCTACCGCCCGATTTCGCTCTCAATGCGAAAAGCCCCATGCTCAAGACAGAGCAAAACCTCCGAAGCCCATTCCAGTTAGTAGGAAACAGCCACTGAACACACACAAGGTTTAGGGTTGTTGGGGGTTTCCCAAAAATCAGGGGTACCCTGTTGGGGGCCCCCATAATAAGGACAATAGTATATTGGGGTCTGTATTGGGTCCCCCTATTTTTGGAAGCTGCCTATTATCCCTGATTGCTCAGGGTCCTTGACAACCCTCAGCCCTCGGTATACTGGTATATGACCATGATGTAGTCACCGCGAGTTGTAATTCTTGCGGGGTCATGCCAGTGCCCATAAAAACCCTAAACCCTAAACCGTGTCTTCCGGGCACATGCCAGATGCCGGTGTGGACTGGCTTTCTGCGAGCGCCACCGCGCCGCAGAGTTGCATGGGTGCCCTCCGTAGCCATCATAGTGTATGGCATAGGAAAATTCACTGGCATATGATGTAGAAGCCTAAATGGTTGCTGATAACATGGCCCTGGGTTCTGTACATATAACTATGGGACAGGGATACGCAAGCAGCCCAAAATGCTATTGGTAATTGTTCAGGCCTCTTGCGCAGTAGTGCAAGGATTTATGGAGGTTATACATACAGGGATATATGGAGGTAGGGTTCAGGGGTCAGGGTTCAGGGCTTCAAAATTGAGGGAGTCTCTTTTCTGGAGCCCCTAGCATAAGCTTCATAGTATCTTGGGCTAACATCCAGGGGGACGCTATCTCTTAAATTTATTTGTTAAAAGGGGTTGCACGTTCACTGTTTAGGTCTGTACGGGGCTTTCTCAGACTTACCTGTGGGGGAGATCATCGGGGTCCCGAGTAAAGTATTTGGGAAATCCTGCGTACATCTGTACGCGTGCTAGCTCCGCAGCAGTCGCCCAACCTTTTAGCGTTGGGATGGTTGACATATGGTGTTCGAGTGAGTTCGGGTGTGTTTGCATATTGAGGCTCTGCTGTATACGCAGTACATATTGAATGCATGGACAGACATACATCAACAACATGCGCGCATCCGCTCCAAAGCGGTTGAGAAGTCACCAGGTCCTTGAGGATTTAAGGTTCAGGGTTGAACGTGCCAAACCCTAAACCCTGAATGGCGCTCTGACAGGTGCACATTTGATTGGCAGCAAATGCAGCGAGAGAAGGTGGCGCGCGAGAACCCGAAGGCAGGAGCTGGCTGCCACGAAAGCCTGAAGAGTCTCATTATTATCATGTCCAATATTTTTTAATTAGGGCTGCGATTACTATTAGTAGTAGTATTACTATTACTGCTGCTACTACTACTACTACCACTACTACTATTACTGCTGCTGCTGCTGCTGCTGCTACTGCTGTTATTCCAGCTATTCCTGCACTGCTATTGTTATTAACTGTTATGCTTGTCAGTTTTGTCGTCATCATTTTCGTGATTGTTTTATTCGCATAGTTTAGCAGTACTATATTTTTTGCTATTCTCATGCTGGTTTTCAGACCCTTCGGATTGATTTCCAAAACTGATATAGGGGTCTTTTAAAGGGGGGAAGGGGCATAATGGGGATTGCCATATCGTAGGGTCTATGTTGGGTCCCCCCATTTGTGCTTTACACAATTTTCGCCAGCCTGCAATAAGATGAACCTTTTTGTTGCTGGTGTTTTCGTTGACGTCTTTTTGCGCTTTCTGGAAACCCATGTTCATGTTGTCTAAAACGTGTCTTGAGCATGCAATGATTTGTTTGCGTCTTCTTAGCTAAGAAGCTGCAAGAACAGGACCCGGCAATCAAGTACCAGTGAGAACGGTAATGGTTCGCAACATGACGGGTGAGGCTTCTGAGAGTTATTTTCATGTGAGCTAGAGGCTAAATTCCTTGAATGGGGGTTGTATACGGGATTATTACAGCAGTTCTTAAGGAGGATGCTAGGAGTTTAGACCCTAAACCCTAAACCCTAAATCCTACGGTTCTTTACGGGGATATTAGGAGTTTCGACCCTCAACCCTAAACCTTAAACCCTAAACCCCAAATACTAGGAGTTTAGACTATAGGCTTTGGAGATCTAAGTTTGGCTGTCCCCTTGTGGACTCCAGAACACAGCTCCACGGGTCAACCGCGCTTTCTGTGGACTGCTGCTGATATTCAGTTTTTGGGGTTTAGGGTTTACGGTTTGGGGTTTAGGGCTTAAGGTTTAGGGTTTAGGCAGAGTAGCATTAATATTAACAAATATAACGTTGATACACTTTCTAAAGCAGCCACATTCTTCTCGATGATGATGATGATGCTGTTAATGTTGATGTTGATGTGGTAGTTATGGCAGCAAGAAGACATGCATGGATGTAAGGATTCCTCAATACAGAGCTTAAGTTATGGAGAGGTATCAATCATCCTATAGTCCCTTCCAAACACTATGGTAGATAACACTAGTGTTTCATAACCCCAATCCCTACATCCTCCAGGTTTTCATTTCAGTTTCCAGTTTGTTTTCCATTTGACTCTCCATGATGGAAGCTGACGCTCTAGGCCCTAGACCCTAAATCCCTACGTATCATGGATCCCCATTGTTCCAACAGGTTGTCCTCTCCAGTTCAAAGGTAAGCTCCTGTAAAGCGCCCTGCCTGCAGCATCAGCTCGGGGGACAGCTCTCGGGAGGTTGTGTAGAAGTCCCCTACGTAAACCCTAGAACCTAAAACCGAAATTTAGGGTTTAAGGTCTAGGGTTTAGCTTACCACTTGGAATGTTTCCCCTCAGGGACTTGTTGTAGGCATAGGAAAACATACGCCGAAAGTCTGTTCTAATCATTTAGGCCACTGCATGACCAAGATCTTTCAGGTGAAATCAGTTGTCATTGGCAACGCATGGCTTGATCCTGAGCATGTGCCTGTTGTACCCCACGAGCCCTGCGAAACGACAGCAAATCTAAGGCTTGAGAAGATGCCCTAGACCCTAAACCTTGAACCATTCTCGTAGATTAGATGATGGGTGGTGGCGTTCTGGAATTGTTCTGGCGTAGAAATGGGAGGCGTAGACACACACACACACACACACACGGCGATTAATTGGACGGCAGCAAGCAGTAAGTGGTTGATGTGCCGATTTTCTTCAGCTCAATTGTCTACAGGTCAGTACTCAAACTGTGACTTTCGTGTGGCCAGAGTTGTAAACATTACCTTGATGGTTGACTGTTCATATGGGCTACTCTCAAAATTACGGGTCCCTGTTGGTTATAGATTACATTACGGCACCTAATATTGAGGGGTACCAAAATGGGACCCTAATTTTGGGAACTAACCCTAAAGCCTAAACCCTAAATATTGCAAAAAAAACCCTAAACACCAGCTTCCACTTTCTTTTCCATTATCCCTAAGTAACCCATATAGACACCCTATGTACCCCTAATGTTGGGAACTACCCTAAACCCTAAACCCTACATACCCCTATAAAACCCCTATAAGGTACCCCAACATGGGACCCTACTTTTGGGAACTACCCATATCATCACAGGGATCACCATTGGACTCCTCCCCCCAGGAATGGTGTCAACAGTGTCCTGGCTTGACTCTTGGGTTTAGGGTTTAGGGTTTGGGGGCGTCTGCTATGGGGCTCTCCATTTATGGAACCCCTCAAAAGGCTTAGTGTGAATTTATGCAACCAGTTCAAATGGTTCGTGTGACACAAGGCACTGGTGCTAGTAGTTCTTTTGGCCGCGCAGAATTTTGATGGCCCCCAGGCCTCAGGCATTCCCCTGCAGGCCAGAGTTCAGGAAGGTCTATGAAGGTAGAGTTGCTGGTTTCCCAAAAGAGGAGGACCCCAGTATAGATCCCGAAATATTAATCCCCGAAAAGGTTCCCCTAATTTTGGGAAATCCCAAGTTATTGCAGCCTGACGATCCCAAAAAGTGGTCGGACAGGCGCAGGGGTTCAGAGGCTTTTGGGGGTAGTAGTCTTTCCTTTCCAGGTCGTTGTTGGGCAGGACTTGTGTTTCGCTTACGCGACAGTTTCAAATTCGGTAAGGTAGCGCAGTGTAGGACTTGAATGGGGCCCGGAGCTTCTGGTACAACCTAATGCGCTAGTTCGCTCGTCGCAAGGCTATGGATCAGTGGGGTGAGTGCTAGACTGGTGTCACATACATGATGGGTCGGTGTTTTGAGGCACCTTAAATGAAGGCATTTGGTGTTGTATGTGATAATCGGCAGCCACGGGGTCTAAAACTGTAGTGTCGAGGGCTTCCGAGCGGGGGTTTCGGATCTGCGATTTTTCTCATACATGCAGCAGGGCAGTGACCAAGAGTTGCAGCATGTGTGACCAGGTATTGCAAACATCATCCTGCCGGATTCTGAGTTCCGTGCAGTAGGATGGCGCAAATGCTGCCACTGCCACTGCGGCAGTTCATTATTCTGAAAGCAGGGAGCAGCTGTTGCAGCAACGGTAGCAGCAGCGGCGGCGGCAGCAGCAGCGCCCCATGTGAAATGATGATGATGGTGATGATGATGATGGTGGTGGTGGTGGTGGTGGTGGTGGTGCTGGTGCTGGTGCTGGTGCTGGTGCTGGTGCTGGTGGTGCTGCTGGTGGTGCTGGTGCTGGTGCTGGTTTTTGTGGCTGCGTTTGTGGTTTGTGGTGGTGTTTGCTGCGTTGGCTGTGGCGGTGGCAACACCGTAGGAGGCTTGCAGCAACAAGGCCGCCGTAGTCCCA